CGAATTGGGCCTCGAACACGGACATTGGGCATAGGTGTCTTCTGAACATTATGGAAAAAACAATTCTACACACTAATCTGTGTCCCAAATTGTTTTTTTCCAACATATTGTTCCATGATCAAAAAAACTAGGGTCAGAGCATTAGCATTTCTGCAGTATTAGCCTTAAGCTCACAGAGGTGAGTCTGGTCACACGATGACTACCAGATTCACCGGCAGAATCGCTTTTCTAACGCTGCTAGCCATTCGTACTGTTGGAGCTGCCAGCAGATTTGATCAAAGTAAGTTATGTTAAGATTTGTCTAGCAGGTTTTCGAAATTGTCTGGAAGCCATCCGTTGACCCTGAAAGTTAGATTGACAATGGTCGCCTACCCATGGTTACCATGGCAACGCACTACGAAGAATGCCCGTTAACCACATCGTTCTTAGTAAAATTGGTGAAAGGTTTACTAATTCGAAAATATTGAAAACATACTATATATTCCCGCGAATCAGCTGCGCGCAGAACAGTACTTTTTTTTTTTATTAAGAAGCCACACTATACACTGTGATTACCAAGCACGAATGCATCTTTGGCGCCGTTTGACGATGGCATTTCGTCGATTCGAAAGGTCTTAAACTATTACGAAGAAGTCTAGCACAATGAACGTACAATATTTAGTACATATTTTTCACAGGCTATAATATAGCTTGTCAGTTTAGTATAGCATCCTTTGGTGACCTTGTTGGCGGTACGTTGCTCGATGAGAATTAGTTGTACACGGTGATCAAATACTGCAGTACGAGTCTATAAATATCTTAAAGCGCAAGCAATTAAAATGATCGAAAGTTGAGGAGTTTGAGAGAATATCACTATTACTGTTGCTAAAGGAAAGCTTAATAATATTTGTGAGTAATAAAATGAATCTGCTGAAACTCCTGTCTGTCTCGCAACTTACCGCCGAAAAAGGTCGTAAGTCGACCTATTTTTGCTGTCGTCTAATGAGACTTGCAAACGGTAGTAGAGGGGACTGACTGACTGACTGACTGGTAACTGAAGCGACAAAAAGTTCATAACTAATTGAAGACTAACTTTTAGGTGGATTACAGATACATATGCTTTAGGCCGATCAGTATTCATTGCGACAAATGTAAACTAAAAAATAGGCGTTCCTCTAAGTCCAAAATAAGTCTCGTAGGCCGACACCATGGCCAAGATTGCCTATCACGAATTTTTCACTAATAATTTCTATATATTAATAAATAACAATAATTCATCACCTCTCAACTGCTTTTAAAGGATACAAGAAGTCATTCTTCGAAGAGGTGGGATTTTTTCAGAATAAAGTTATCCGCCTGAAGTTCGTAAACCTCAGTATCGTCTTTCTACGAATCTCCGTCTTAAACTTAGATGTATACAATTTCGTTGAAGCTGTAGGTGCCTTCTCGATTTGAATTGATCAAATGTTTCAATGCGTTATTCGATCTGCTAATGTATCACGGACAAGCCTGCCCATATTTGTTAAGAGTGTAGTAAAACTTCCAGGTAAAATATTACAGTAAATGTAACATCGTACTTTACATGCTGTGATTCCGTCTTTTAAACGATTCAAGTTAAAGAAACGCATATAAAGATAGAGTATAGAAAAAAAAATGGATTTATCACAGAATCGAAGCCGATCGCCGTGTAATCATCAACAAACGTTAATAATTATCTAGTAAAAATTTTGGAGTTTATTATGGCTTTACCATCAGTCAAATCTAGTTTATAATGATCTCAGCACCTAGTTAATAATAACCATCGGACTCATTTGAAGCAAGCGACAGTCATTGGCTGTTTTTATCTGGTAATTCCGATGAGCTGGCCGCTTTCTTCTAGTAAGGGCTATCCGCCTCATGACAGATACTGTGACGCGCGACAAAAACTAAAAGACAATGGGAATGACCGTGGGAGACCCGCGTTTTACGTAAGGACCTACAACAAAACAGACGAAATTGCCTTTAGGTCTTTAATAACAGTAGGCCTCAAGCAGCATTGCAGTCTCAACAACTTCAGGTTCCTGATACTGTAAACTAGTTTCCTCAGCTATTATCAAGCCTAAATTCGAAATTTTTATTGTAAGTTACATCATTTGCTTATATATATATGGTAGTCAGAAAAGTTTCCACCCTCAACATAAAAATGGCTCTACCCGGTAAAGATATTTGAATAATGTAATTGCGCGTATATTAAAGTAAAAAAGATTGAATGCTCAGAAAATAAGGGTATATATTCAATGAGGGGGTCATCGCATTTATGAACGTTTGTTTTGCATAGCAAGCACCACTTTGATGGATTAAAGAGGTTGGAAAAAATGTTCTATAGACTTGCAAAGAGGCTGCGTTTAGAAAGATCCATGAAATGTATGAGCTGAATACAGCGACCAGTCAGCGGACATCAAAAACAAATGATTCCGATCTTTTCACAGTAAAAGCAAATCACTATTAATCGCTTGACCTGCTAAGTGCTTCGAGGTGATAACAGGAGCTACGGTGTAGCTGCTAACCTAGCAATAGGCACGCACCTATGCGTAGTGTGGCAGATGGACATCTACCTTATTTTGTGCCTATTCGTCTATCTACCTTGTTGTCAACAACAACAGCAGCAAATGTTGCGTATTTGTAAAGCTGTTGTTATTGCCGATGCTGTGACAATGTCTGCTATAACTACCAAAACGGTGTTCGCTGGCTGTAAATCTACATAGTACTGCCACCAGTCGAATGCGCTATGGCCTAGCAACCGTCGACAGTTGGAGTTACTCTACGCAGGCAATATAATTCCCGTACCATTGTGTTCCATTACTTGTATGTCAGTCGATGTGTCCTAGTCTTAGGCTGACATCTGGATCGATTGGCCCAGCAAACACAAGGCATACGATGTCACGCACCTGGCTCACGTAACAACCCAGAAGACAGCCCATCCCCACTGCACTGCACAGCACTGTACTACCGCTCATCATTTTTACCATCATTTTTAAATGTACATCAAAATACCGATTTACTCTGATTTTTGTATCAATGCGGTGTCAGTAGAAATAATATTTATAGGATCTAAAATCAATGCATAGTAAAAGGGTCGAGGCCCTAGGCTCCAAATAGGCAAGCTTTTAGACTCGTGAGTTTTGGTCTATACGCGTAAGTGAGAAGGTTTACTAAGCAAGAAAACTACGATTCGTTTTAATTTTTCAGAAAGATTGAAATAAAGGTAATTAAAATTATTTCTCACATATATATCAATGGCCCAGTTTCTTATGCACACCTGAAGTAATCGTAAAGCGTTGGACGAGTGAAGACTACGGTTCTCTACGTAGCAATCCAGCGAACCCTACACAAATTTGTCACTATTGTTTTATGATGTACAAACCGTTTTATGGAGTACAAAACTTTCTGGTGAACGAATCCTATCAATTTAATTTCTGTCATCATCTCCTTCTCACAAGCGCAATTTAAAGGCTTGATTAAAACTTTGATTTTCCACTGTAGAAATAGCTATAAATTTTCGTGTCTAATATGTAAAATTTAATATCAATAAATAAATTTAAAACATTTAACGGGGCAAATTACCATTTTTTTTTTACTAGTTAAAAATGGCAACAATGTTTGGGAAACATCTTTATTTGGGTGACAAGTCTCTATCAGTGTAAAGCAAACTACTACTAAGCTAGTGAGAGTGTCAGTCGAAGAGCAGACATCTACGTGAATAAAATGGTACGTACTGACTGTGGCACCCGCAAAAATACAAGCGATCTCAAGGCTATTGTGCATACTAAATTACTTTGAAGACTCTGTAAAGATTTCAAAAGTACAGATTCGCAAAAATAGTACGTACTTTTATTTTAGGCGAAGGTTATTTCAAGTCGTGACTGCTTGCCCTACAAACAAGCTATAGTGTTGCGGTGTTAGTGGACCACCATTCCATGCCTTCTGAAACGTCAATTCTGGTATAGTACTTTTTACAGTAGTTCGTACAACAAATTCAAACCACTATCCAGTACGTTCATGAAACATAGCAATAATACAGACAACAAGCTCGAGGCAGTACCTAATAATGATTTGTTACTGCCACGAAAACAGACTGACCCAGCTTCTGCTATGTGTTGCCCTTAATGGTAGGTTTAGATTCGCGAAAACAAACGTAGGCAAGGTTTAAGTTTCAGGGTAAATCGCTCAGTGGCATAACCATACCTATACGTATACTGCAACGTGTTTCTCTCATTCTATAAGACGTGCCTAGTCTGGGCAAACGTTCAGCTCGGATCAGCTTTTACAATACGGCCGGTCCTATTTTTAAATTGTCTTACCGCTTTAGCTGCGCTCATTCTATCCCTACGTACTTCTTTCTCATATTCATACTATTTTAGAGAACCCCTTTCGTAACCGTTTACACCTCTTAATATTGTAGTTTTTTTGGTACCACCATTAGCACCGTTAAAGGTAACGGCGGCGCCGGCCAAGATTCAACTTACATATTGACATCCCTGTCTGTCATTCCCTGCTGGTATCGTTTGGTACATTTTCTGTTACTGCCGCTGCCATATCGACTCGTTAACACTGCTGTTTTTATTCAGGCGTACTACTCCCGCTTGCAGCCGTGCTGCTGCTGCTGGCTTCTCTATTTCTAGGCATATTACGCTTAGCCGTCATATGCTTGCTTAGCTGTTGCCGATGGTGCCTTGGCGGACAGGCCACTGGTTCAGTGCCGGCTAGTGCGGGAAACGTTGCGTAGCATAGACGACAGCACTTCCTTTGCAATAACAGTGACAAATAGTACAACAGAATACGATAGGACATAGAATCTTAGGAAGTCCTCCTACTCGACAGTCGATGGGCAGCTTCAATTCCGTTAGCCGAACGCTTCACCCTTGATGTAGGGCAGTAAAGACGCCACTGCTGTGCTGTGCAGTGTAGCTAATCGGCTCGATAGCAGTAAGATAATACATATGAAAACGAGAACTGGGTCATTCTGCGACAGACGCAAACCCAGCCATTGGCTGTTCGCTACCTAAGACTTCACGCTGAAAACAGACAGTTTTCGAATTTATCGATTCAATAAGGCGTTCGTATTAAGCTGCCGGTTAGTACAGATCGACGACGAAGTGAAGTTCGTATTGTCGGAACGGCAATAAAAAACGCGTAGCTTACTGTAGTGGCTGAATGAGGCGGATCATAGAAGCTAAACTACGTGTCTATAATTTCGAGTGCAGGTGTTAATGCAGAACCCGATTTTTTCCGGTGTTACAATGAGCGTCAACAAGGAACAACAAAAAACACAGCCAAACGACTGCCACGGAAAAGGGGCCGACAACGCCCCAGCAAACAGCGACCACAGCGAATGTTGTAATACGTTAACTATATGTGACAATTTAAAGAATAACAACAATGAGGATGATAGCATTGATGATGTCCACAAAGGACAACAACGACTGACGTCTACGAATAGCAAAAAGCAAGGATCACTGAAACTCGAAAAACAGTTAGAGGAGTGGAATAGTAGTGATCGAAGCTGTGCGGCGGTACGTTGTGAAAATTCAAAATGTCTGAAGTCCTTAACTTATCCGTGGCCCTCTGGCCTTCAAACTGCTTTCCTTTCACCTTTAGTGTGGTAATATTAAAGGTGAAAGCGGTAAAATTTCGTAAACGTAAACTTTGCTGGATGTGGATTTGCAGGTTATTAAGGGGACAAGTATGCGCAAGTGTATACCACGCGGTGCGCTTTCGTCTTCTGTCATTAAAAATAACTGAAATAAACCTTAATTATTTATTTTCTACCATTTAACAGGAGAACTCGAGTGACGTCGATGTGAATTGGCTATGCGTCATCATAGATCTGGACGGCTACGATGTGGAGGCCAATCTTAGATACGTCCATAGGGATTCGGCGGATCCGCCTATTAGCGTTGAACCATTCAGTAGACCGTACCACAAACGACGCCATTCATTTGTCGGCTCCGAAGAAGTATTTTGAATAGCAATCATTGCCACATTGTGACTATTGTGCATCAGCATGCTCGCTCGTTTCTACATGTACACCTTTTCAGATAAGCAGATTAAAAGGTATGTTTATTGCCGCAACTGTAAAATCATTGCACAAAAGCCAATGAGCTCGATAACCAAATCGCTTTGGAACAAATCATTGTGCTGTATTTAAACCATTTCGTATTTCTAGAAATTGAGTTGATTCTATAGCTATAAGCTATAATAATTATAATATATAATAATAATAAGGTAATTAGTAAATAAATGGAAAGCAGTATTGAGAGTTCAGTAGAGCGCTAAATGTATAACACATCTTTCAGACTATAGTCATTGAATATCTATTTCAATGAACAACTCGTGTGGAAAGCCTAATGGTCGGCGAAACTCAACGGTTTAACGGATTTCCATAAGCGGATTTTCTAGAATTTTGAGTGCCAGTGAGCAGTAAATGCAGTTAATTACTGAGTATGATATCACTGCAGAATCAATTGATGTGATATTAATATTGTTTTTCTTTGGACGTAAACGTCCGGGATCTCTACATCACTATTTTAGTAGCTGCAGGGTCATACGTTAGTAGTGTTGATGACGCCCCGGCAGGTTGTTGAAAGAAAGACTTTCTGTTTTGTGTACATTGTGGATAATGTTGTATAAATAAATGCAGAAGTTTTTCACCAAGCTCATACATAAACGCTGTCAAAAATCGTTCTTCGAAATTATTCCTTTATCAGTCGAAATTTCGTTGAATTCGTAATAATGCTAATAAGGCAACTAGCTACAGCGCCAGGTCTGCCAGTTGTTGCGTTTTAGCTGAAGCACAAATTCTACGATAACTCTGTATATAGGATAAATGTACAAACGAATTTTTTTAAGTAGTAAATGAAAAAATGAGCGCCGTTTGAAAACTTGAGGTAACACGCGTCGATGTTATTCTAATTATGCTATGTAATATTGACGGTAAACATCACGCGTGTATTATACAATACGTACGACATAGATGTGTATTTGAATAGGTGGATGATGTTATTTACGCAAGAAGAAAACATGATTATATGAGTTATTTTACTAGTGAATTGTAACTTTCGTCGTTCAAGTTAGTAAGTGGCTAACTGTTTTGATGTTTAAGCTACATAAAGCCGCAGGGCCAGCCGGAAGGCAAATGCAAAGATCTGCGTCTTCGAACACTGACTTCACTCAACCCATTCTAATAATCGATGTTATATATGTATACATGAAAAAAGTGGGTAATTAGCTAGCTTGCCCGAGGCTCTATTCTGAACGGTTCCAATCTTTAGGTAATATGGCTTCCTTTTCAAATAGTTGTCTTCTGCAAAGCTTGATCAATTTTATTTAATCCTCCCGTCTAATGGCTCTGGAGCTGACCTTGGAAGAACCTACGCAATTACCTTTATTAGGTAGTCTAGAGGAGATCACTTCCTTTAATAGTTCCCTAACATAACTCGTATTCGATTAACCTGAAGTCCAAGTGAATGTATTTCGAATCTTGGCCGTCCACTTAATGAGTCTACGGCTCATGACCTGTCGTTAGTGTGTTGAAGTGTAGAATACTTCAAGGAAGAAAATTTTTGATACTTCATTTACACACTACTGTACCTGTATTGTGAAATCACCGAACGAAAATCGCTGACATGCCTATAAACGAAAACTATTAAAATCAGCGTAAAAGAAGCCCCATCTCAGCCGCGTCCCATATAGTCGCCCATATGATGAACGTTTGTTATGATCCGATTTAGTTATGGATCTACCTGCTGGAGTGGCCGCGACAGAATGCTCCCATAATCCATGTTACTGTTACATATGTTAGCCGGCCTAGACCATAGGGTGGAGAAAGTTGTAACGTGGCAGTCGTCGTCGTCGTCCTCGTCGTCGTGGCCAAGTTACGTCGAAAAACGTGGCTAGAGGACATTTTGGGAAGCGTGCAGAAGAAATACTGTGAACACTTCTGTGCTCCTTCACCTTTTTCTACGTTTTTATTATCGCTGGCGGTTTTCCGCCGTAGAACCGCTAAAGCAGTTCTTTACTGCGAGAACGCGAGGCACATGCGCAGATAGAAATTGTTTGTATTTGTCCGCCGCAGAGCCCTCCATTGTGCGCTTTCGCACTCTACGCGCCGTTAGCAAGCTGTCCCTTTTTATCCTTTACACGCCTTCACCACATTATCCCCGATTTCTTTCATTTTCACATTCTTTCTTTCCGTTGCCATCCAAATGAAATATCGATTCAGAGAGTTTTTCTTTCCCTCTTTTATCGTCTTCCTTTCTTTAGCTATGCCGCGATCTATACATACATACATGCATGCGCCACTCTTGCGCAGAGATTTTTCGCTCATAGAACGACGCTTTCACAGACTCACTGTTGTCGCCGTCGTCGTCGTCGTCGTCGCCCGCTCTGTTCACTTGGTCGCCAACCTTTTCCCTCAGTTGCGTTGCGTCGGCTTGTAGCCTTTAGCTTGCTTCGTTCGTCTTTTCTCCGCGTTTTCGGAGTTGAGTTTGAGGAAGTTTCACGAGGACGGCGGGGCTTGAGGGAAATTAGGAAACGGGCGGTTGAGTCAGAGTGGAATGGAGGATCACAAGCTGCACCAATTCAGTCGTGGCAGCGGTTGAGGTGGAGAGTGAACCGACAAGCATCGTGTGACGACATCGAAGATCCGCGCTGTTCGCTCAAGAAGGCGAACGAGCGAAGTGAAGCAGTCGCTTTTCTAGCAAGGCATAGTCAAAGTAGCAAAGAAAGAATAATGCAAGTCGGCTGAAACGAACGGGAGTGGCCATTGTTTCACGGAAGTCTCAAGCTCTGAACACGAGTGAGCGCGTAACGGGAGGAAGAAGCACCGGGCCAGAACTTCGTGCAATTTTGAATTTGCGCGCCTTCAAGATGTCCATCCATATGTTGCAAGTCTAAATGGAAATTTCGAGATCTGGCAGTACGTATTTACTATACTGGCATATATCTATATTGCAAAAGACTATTGTAAAACACAACAGGGAGCGATTCAGTAAAGGGGTTAATATCCTTGCAGGCTAGTTTATTTTTATAGTCTTAACAGAGATCTTAAATGCATGCTTTTCACTGCGGCGTATAAGTTTCTTTGTACGGTTATATTTAGTAAGTAATGTGGTTTAACGTCTGTTGTGATTCGAGCGCGTAAATACGAAAATTGGTTTACATCGTCGAGTTCTTCTTGCTAAAGCTTCGTTTGCGAAATACAGAGAAGGTGTCGACAGGAACTCATGCGTCGTATTGGAAAATTGCGCATAGCGATAGCACGTCGCGCCATAGCGATAGTGCAGCGATTGTATCGCCGTGCCTCTTCTGTCACCGTTTGGGTGTTGGAAACGAGGCTTTTGGGGCGAGTGACGTGAAATCACGACGGGACTTTCATACTCTATACGCGATAGCTCTGGTTTTTGAAACCGATCCTGCTTATACTCTCCGTACGTAGCAGATTAGCTATATATATATAGAATGTGATTTGGCAGAAAAGTGTAGTCCAATAACCTCAAATACTAATATAATAAATAATGAATTGCGAGCAGTATCTTTTTCTAGTTTTCATTCGGGCAGTACTGACGGTGTAAATTTGTGGATATTGTCAGTAATACATTTTTAATAGATCTCTTATCGAGCACGGTGTATGTGTTCGCTGTAGATCTGCATGTTTCCTTTGGAATACACGAGTAGTAATCCGATTTTGTACTTACCTGCAAGGTTGAATCCGTGCTTTTCCTTGTTATATTTGGAACTATTATAATGACTGATTTAGGGTGATTCGCTACCATCATATGGTCAAGTATTTAGAAAGCGGAACTCTGTTATACTATAGTTCTGCCAAGTTACTCAAAGCAGTAAAGAGATTATCTGAATACAGCAAAGAGGTTCGTATGAATAAAATCACTGACTTGCATAATAAGCAGCGTACAGTAAACGCGCTTTACCTCTGTTGTCTAGTAAAAAAAATTTGAATTTACCTGTATGTATATTCAGACATGTTGACAAATTGTTACCTTGACTCCTATAAGCTTCTTAGTATCGCTATAGCCCCCCGAGGCGCGATTGGCTGCTAACCGAACGGTTGATGGTTCAAGCCCACCCAAGGAGCTATTATTTTCAATGATCTGAGTATATTTGAATCTTTGAGCCAATCTAAATGTATTTGTGATATCGACTTGAAAACACGGAAACTTAACAGGCGAATATGTAACTAAACGAAAGTAAACAAAGCTGGGGATCAAAGTCAAAACGTGTCGGTTCAAGTCTCGTTGCGTAGACGCTAAATGAGGTTTTTTTTAAGAAAAACAACGCACCAGCAAATGCTACGTGATCGCCGTTAGAAGATTGCGAGGGAATACGTTTGTAGAAGACATGAAGAACATAAAACACTTGGTCTGTGAATGTGTTCAAGTGCTACAAAGAGCAGCGATTGAACGATGTATCGCAAAGGGCTACCGCCGCTGTCACAGTTTAAACAGGTAATGAGCTCTGAGTCAGAAAGAGCGCTTATTGATTCTATCTTCATTATAAAATATAGGCGCCTCAGAGTATTATCTAAAGCAGGCAAGGGAAAATCACTTTTTTCACCATATTTCAACATAGTGCTGCACACAGCATGCAGTGTTTATGAAAACCGAGATTGTCATTTACTCGATTGGAAAAAAACATGTTGGCTATACATTCAATAACAGGACGTACTAGGATGACCTGATTCCAATAGGTACATTATAAGTTGTTAGCGTTTTAACAAGTTTGACGCTGGTAATTCCCATATCCTCATTGAGATTAGGAGTTGCCTAGCGTCGACGGCATGTTGACTCTCCAAGCAAGTCAAAGACTAACAAATTATTAAGTATTTCACTTCACTGCGATGATATGCACATTTCAGAAGCAAAAAAAAAAAAATTGCTCAATCGAAGATTACAGCGACAATAGAATGCAAAGCTATAAACCATGTACTTAGAGAAAAGTCTTCATGGGCCCAGCGTCAATAGATAGACGCGTATTACCGCTTAGCCCATTGATCCAAACTACGCTAAGCGAAAGGTGCATGCCCCTTTTGCTTAGCGTAGTTTGCGAAATGTCCCGCAACGACAACGCAGTGCAGATCGTAGAGCACCTGATGTTGCTTTAGAAATTTACATGCTTACCTTTCTGGTATAATCTTGCACAGACGTTGTTTTAGTTATTTAAAATATTGAGAGCTACGCATAAATCTGGAGAGAAGAGCAATAAGAAAGTTTGGAAAACAGTCCCTTACATATGTCATCGACGAAAAAAAAAAGTATTACGAAGTTACCGTGGGAGACGCTGAAACATACGGGCCCCTTTATGCTGTACAGGTAACCGGGCCGTTTCATTAGATGCATACTGTTGTGCATCATCGTTGCGCCTACATTACGTACTAATCTAATTATCCTCTAATCATAGCATTATCCATTTCTTTAAGTTTACAATCGATCAATAATACATATTGCGTACAGGTTTATAACGAATATAATGCTGAGATGATTTGTTGAGTCGCCGTGTGATATGTTATAGGTTTAGATACATTTGAATACTATTCAAATCTTATTTAACAACATATTGCGTTTGTCCGCGCCCACTTGGCTTGAGCTGATCAATCAGTTTGAAGAAAAATTCAAAGAAACAACACCTATATATGTAGATCATGCCCAGTTTATTATCATAATAAGAATCCGTAAAATTT